TGCTTAATTACAAACAAACAGATATTTGCTGAAATTAATTCAAATTTTTTTAAAGAAAAAGTAGTTAATAATTACGCATTCTAAATTTTAATATACAATATTTATTCACTTATGCCACTAAAAATGAAACTATTGCAATGAATTTATAAAATTAAGGTTTGTGTACAAATGCTGTCGTACTTAAATGCCCATTTCTTAATATGCTTTTGATATACTATGTTTTAAATGTCGTAATAATATTTCTATACTTTGTATAAAATCATTTTTCAACAGATGGCACCACAATCGACGAAAACTGATGGTAATTAAAACAAATATTTAGTTGTGCCGGCAGAAGAAATAACATTATTTTCGTCCGGTAAACTTAAGTAATTGCTTTCTTTCACCAAGAATTGATAACATGACATTTTAAAAGTTGTATCGATTTATATCAAGAAACTAACAAGCTAGGTAGAGAGTAATTCTGTCCTGAAAATACCAACTTTATTCTTTTTCTCGGTGAACTCATAATACTTCTTTATAGACTGAAAGCCGTGCTATGAAAACAAACTTCAAAGCACCTGTTGTCATTTTCTAATCTGTGGTCGTACGATATTAATTTCTCGTTCCGACAGGCTCTCTTTATAGCGAGAAACTAAAATATACTCTTGCATGTCCATAAAGTCCAAGTTCAATTTTTGGACATCTGGTTTTATCATTACATGTAGAGTGATAAGTTTTTTTGTTTTTGTAACTGCTGTAGTATTGTTTACTTGAGAATGGTATTATTGGCAAATATCAAAGTCGATGTAATTAGTGTTATTGTATTATAGAATTTATTGTTGTTTCTTGAAAAGAAGTTTCTATTTCTATTACTTGAGGTAAGCAGTGACGCAAGTTTTTTGTTATTTCACCCTCTCCTGCATATTTTGGGGGGATATGTTATTACATCATGTGTTGTTTATCAGTAGTTAAAATAACGTCACATATTTATTTAGTTATAAATATTACGCTGAAACTTCAGAAGAAAAACTGTTTTTCTTTTATCTTTTACGACAAGGGAAATCTCGTCATTAAAATGTGCTACAAATGTACTTTAGACTTTGAAAAAAACAAGATTTATTTGCTTGTGAGTGTAAATAACACAAGGAATTCAAAGTGATCAATACTGCTTTTTATAGCGTTTTCGTTCTCAAAACAGAGCAACTTTTTTTCATAATCAAAAATAATATTGGGTATTTTATAAATTAACTATAAGTTTTCAAACATGTCGTCAGAATTATTGTCTTTAACTTGAAATACCATTTTTTTTCCTTGCAATAACTTAACAGTTTTATCCGTCACGGTTCGAACTCTGTACAATCAACAAAAAAATACATACATTTCTATCATTTCTCTACTGAACGAGCTTTCCGATTCTCCGGTGGGTTAGGGGAAAGCCGACTTACAACGCTGAAATTCGTGGTTCGATTCCCTGCGGTGGACAGAGTATAGATAGCTCATTGTGTAATTTTGCGCTAAACAAACAGTGAAATTAATCCCCAGAAGATTTGATTAGAGAAACCAAATTATTTTTACGTAGATGGCTGGGTTAATTGTAAGGTACCTATTATCCAACTTAGTGGGTCTTCAGAACGTTTTATTCCGCAATCACCTGATGTTATTGTCAAAGGAAAACCGATTTGATGTAGAAAGCGAAAACACAATAACTGAGTAACTGTGAAGGTTTGAAGCAGATACACAAAACGTCTAGGAAAATTGATGCGAAGTTACGGATTAAATACAGACTATGCTAATTCAGAAAACGTGCCAGCTTGCGAGTATTAACAGCTAGTTTCTTTAGAATAAAATCCTATCTAATTTAATTTTAAAATCTAAGCCTGTAATCAGGAATTACCATTAAGGAAACATTGTGTACAAGAAGTAAAGAACATTAACGATAAAGATCTAAATATTCTGAAACAGCTAACTCAATGGGAAAAAGAACACACTTGATACTTTTAAGAGTAGTTGAATAACTTATTAATTTTACGCCATAAATGATAAATTTTAACATTTTGTAATTATCACTCACCCTCAGAATCCCATTTACACCATAAATATACAATCCTTGAAAAATATTGTGGATACCAACCATCTTCGTCAGTTAAAGTCTGTTAAGTTATATGCTTCAAGCCTCCAAAACTGGATATTTTTAATATATTTCAATTTTGTTCGGTGCCTCAACAGGATTCTGGATTACATTTCTCGCACTTCAACCTATATACTATACATTCAGATAGAAAACAACAACAGTAACATGTAAGGAGCCTGGCGATATCGCGAAAATGGTTTATTTCGGTTTCACACTTTAGAGCAGCGTTTTTTAGACTTTAATATGCCAACATCAGAGTAGACACTTAATTCCAACTACAGTGAAAACACCACCTCAAATGCAAATGGTTGATAATAAAATATATTTAAACAATTGGCAGGCAGCTAGCTCGTACGGCAAATATTTGAAATAAACTGTTGGTTTCGCTTCAATTTAATGTGTGAGCAAGACATGTTTCTATGAGAGTAAATTAATTGTATCTTTATACATTATAATAATCAATGTCGGTAAATAAGTCATTTTCGCGAAACATGCGAGACTAAATTAATTTTATTTTTATATATTATAATAATTAAGATCGGTTAACTAGTCATTTCCGTGAAATATGATTACTTCCGGTTAAATTCAAGGGTTGATGACATAGATCATGAGGCTGTTTACAATCCTGTTCAAAATAATGAATACTTAATGACATTATAGTAAAATCTTAAGAATAGCGAAAAAACAAAACAAAATATTGACAAAGCGAATCGAAAGTGTATAAAACTGCCTTTTATTAGTAGACACAGAACAGCAAGTCATTAAATCACTTCTACTTTATAACACAAGGTAAAGATAACTTAAGACCGGTAATTCACAATGGATGTTATCCTGTACATTCGAACTAGCTTGACATAGGCCATGCGGTTGTATTTGAGTGTCTAGGTGTTCTTACAAAAATGCTAACAATCCAAGTTTCAATTTTTCACAATGTTCTATATTTCTATTCATTAATTATTAAGGATATAGCGTGATTAAAGGTACATAAAGCGTGCTCAGATTGAACTTTGATAGCGGTTGGCAACTGTCGAAGCCTAAAACTATTTGATCTTGTTAGCTGGTAATTAGGCCTAACACATAAATAAAAATGGACCGTGAGTAAATGACACCTGTGGTCCGTAAATATGAAAGTGAATGCTGATTTTTATGCTCGTGAAAATGTCAGGTTTGTAGTACTTGGAACAAGTTAACTTCTACCAGGCTTGACATAAACACAAGTGATACCTTCCAGTCTTGTATAAGTATAATACAGGTTGCTATCGTGAACATGGTACAAGTACGGAAATCAGGGGTATACCCCCAGAAAATGTGGCATTTATAGGCTTCAAATGGAGTTATTCCAAAAATATAATATATGGCAGCCTTAAAGTTATTAAATAGCATTAATTTGCCCCCCACCAGGCCTAGATCTCGGGGGTTGACACCTTCCTTTTCTCTTAGTTCTTCCGCTTGTGTATTTTTCTTTTCTTGAATGAATCACAATTTTTGAAAGACTAGTAAAAGGCAGTTGGTTTATCTGGTTCTTTTTATCAAAAGACAAATACAAACTAGATAGATGACGAACCTTATATCGTAAATAGTCTTTTTATTGTTATTATTATAGTTTTCATATTTTTTTCTATGTATAGTCTATTAACAGTAATACTAAATTAAAAGAAAATATATATTTGAGGTCCAAGTCCTTATAAGAATACATTTCTATAGAAATAATCAAGTTAAATTTGTGTTCTTATCTCAACTAAGACAACGGTACGTCTGCAGACTTACAACGCTAAAAACCGGGTTTCAGTACTCGCGAAGGGCACGGCACAGATAGCCCATTGTATAGCGTTATGCTAAACTGCAAACAATCAAACTCAACTTGGATGAGTTTTAGCCTAATTCATACTGAAAAAAACAACAAAAAACAGTCGCCTAGTTCTAACGTTTTAACTTCCCATATTTTTTAATCTTATAAAAAAACATGAATATTACAAATATTTCTTTATAGAAGTCGCGGTATTACTATCTATCAAAACAACTTTTAGAAAATTAAATAAGAGAAGGAACATGCATAATTACACCTTTGAAAATTAGCAACAACATTTCTGAATAGTACTGTGAAATTACTTTACTACAACTGAGAACTAAACTGCCCTCTATACATTATGATAGTTTCATATTTAAAAACAAAACAAAAACAGTACGAAGTAATATAATCACCTGTACTAGTACTTTAAAACGAACCTTTAACAATATTAATTAAAAAATATATGGGAATCTGCTGTTTATTAGTAATTCGCAACAACAATTTTTGAGATTCAAGAAAATATTGCGAAAAATCAGTAACACATTTATATATCTGAAATCTGCTTTGTTTTTTTAATTTCGCGGAAAATTATTCGAGGTGTATCTGCGCTACATGACCCTAATTTTGATGTGAGAGGCTCAAGGGAAGGCAGTTAACCAACAGCACTCACCGTCAACTCTTAAGTTACCCCAATCGAATAGTGGGATTGATCATCACATTCTAACGCCCCCACGGATGAAAGGGTGAGCATAATCGGCGACAGGTTACAGTCCCGCGACCCAAAGATTGCGAGCCTAGCGTCCTAGCCACCAGGCCCTCAAATACGGTTTAATAAAACGATGAATTTTGAATTGAGCGGCTGCATGTTAACTTCTCCGCTAGATGGTGGTGGACACTGTGGTAAACACACTTAAAAAGTCACCATGTATTCTTGCGCACTTTTAACAACACAAAAAAAGGGTAAGAACATTTTAAATGAAGAAATACTCTATAAAACTGATAAAGAGATGGAACAGCTCTGTTGTATTCACTTTTAGTATTATACTATCAATCACCGGCTGCATATATGCATATATATATATATCTACAGAAACTTACCGAACATGGCATCAGGAGATATCTGGAACTTTCCTGGGATATGGTACTTATCATTGACAGCTTCTAGAATACGTCCACTTGGACAAGAAATGGTCCGAATTCCAAACTGCGAAAAAGACGGTGCAGTCAGGTCTTCTTTTCGTAGAAAGCCTGATCGCTTTTTTTTTCACAAGAAAAGACCGCGGCATTTTAACAATCAAATTATTATTATTGTTTTGTTTTATTACTTGATGTTATTGAAAAATAAGACGTTAAGTATTTTATGCTTTTCAAGAAATAAGGATTTGTTATAGAAGAAATAGTTAGACTAATTTATACTTTATCCAGCTTAGCCTGATAAAATAGAATGTATGAAATTAAATTAAAATTCGCTTAGTCGTTTTGATTTATGAAAATCAAGGCACATTTTCGGACGGAGAACGTTCGTACCAGACAACCTTAAACAAATGAATGACTCGCGCAAAAACGCTACCAGTCTTTAAACCCCCACTCGCGTGCACAGTTTTATACATGTCCCGTTATCTCGTGCCTCGGGCCTACCGCACTCTCACGTGGCCTCGTTTTCGTTCTTCCTAGTGAAGATTACAAGACTTGTTAGTGTATGCTTAGGGAGGACTCACAAGCACTGGCACCGCTCGGTAAACTCTTAGTGGACTCACAGTGACACCTGGGATAGCCTTTACGGTTGCTATAGTAACATCGATAGCTAGGATGGTTGTTATAAAGGATTCAAGTAAATAAGTTTTAAGAGACAACAACGCAGTTGTTATTAACAATGAATAAAAAATAAGATATAACTAACTCAAAGAATGGTGTAATTTCCCTTAATTCGGAACCGCCAACCTATAATTTTATTACTATTATTATTGGTTTTAATCAGTATGAAAATGGCATAGTTCCATATTTGTGCATGCTGAAGCTTTAATATATATATACAGAAGAAATATTAAACTCGAATGTTCATCTTCATTACTGACTAGAAACGTTTATAGATGTATATATATGCACAATTTCGTTTATAGGCTAAGTCCTGATCTTATCTTCATATGATTAGGCTTAGTGAAAACGCAACTAGTCGTAAGGAAAATATTTATTCTAGTATATATTCAAAGTATTTTAACAAACATAAAATTAGAATAATAAATGTATGCAACTTTAACAGATGGGTCATTGTGAGCGTCGCTTTTAGAAGTATTGTTGTGTAAAACAATACGAAAATTATTAAAGCACAAGTAAAGAATACACATGATTTGAATTTTCAAACAATTTTACTCATTAGAAGCCAATCGTTTGTGCAAATGAACACACGTGATTAGGAACCAAATTCTATTTGTAGGTCAAGTGTTGAAATATCAACTAATCCCTATCTAAAGTTTCACGCCCCTCAGTGGCACAGCGGCATGTCTGCGGACTTACAACGCTAGAAACCAGGTTTCGATACCCGTGGTGGGTAGAGCACAGATAGCCCGCCCTATCTAAAGCTTCATTCACCAAGTAATTTGAACGATAACTTCATGGCTTCTAATAACTATATATAGCAGCTGTTTGTTTTTTATTTCAACAGTATTTCAAATGATATTAATTTTTGTTTGCTTCAAAGTTTTCGTGCAGAAGGTGCATAAAGTGTACCTTTATATAGCAGTTACTAAACTTGAACTGACAGACTAGAGGGAAGGCAACTATTCAATAGCACCCACCGCCAGCTCTTGAGCTAACTACTCTTGCCTGTCAGAATAATTGGGTTTGGCCTTCACTCTTATAGCGCACGTACGGCCCAAAGTGCAGATCACGTTTCACTCCCGGACTTATAGTCCGAACACACTAACCACTAGGCTACTCCCGGCCATAAATGAAGTTAATAACTTCCTTTATCCGTTAGATATGTAGAAGAAGTCGCTGAATACTCTTTTCAACATTAATTTTAAAAAATAAAGCCCCATAAAGTCCATTTCTAGCTGCCGGAGTCTGGTGGTCTGTACGATCCCCTCCCCCTCCTCCCCATCCTTAGCTTTCGACCACCAATGTAACTTTCAATTGATATTTAACCTAAACCGTCCCAGGAGAAATATCTCTTGAATAAATATATTGTTGTATATAACCCAAACCTAATTACTATTATTGATTTTCGGTTAGTCACTATTATTCGATAAGATTAAAAAAATAGGTTTTTGGAGGAAGAAGACGTCAGGTACTCACCATCTAGATCAAATATCACGCGAACTTTGAGTGATTTAATTAGTCTTTATAAATTTATTTTAAAAGCCTATGTATTCAAAAAATATAAAACTTGTGTTTATTTGGACGATTTATTGTTCTTTTTATTTTCTCTACTAGAAACATAGATATGTAAGATCCATTAATTAATTATCAAATTAATTATTATAATGTTTTAGCCAACGAGGAATTAAAATAAATTACCTGCATTTCTGGCAAAATATGCTTTAAGCATTTAAACTTTGTAAAACGCTTGCCGTGATATTTAAATAAAGCTCTAATATTTCACTTAGTTCAAATATATGCTTCAATAGATGAATATATGATATTATCTTTTCACGTTCAGTGTTCATAATTTATCATCTTGAAAAGAAAATTTGATATCTATACACGTTTTCGGGCTGGGGGTGGTCTAATGTTTAGAGTGTGGATCTGAGGATCCCTGGTTCAGTTCCGGTGACGCAAGAAAAAAAAGCGTGTCCACATTTTGGGACTACGAGTGCTTTATAAGAGTGACAATCAAATTCCTCTGTTCGATTAGAGTAACTCAAGAACTGGTGATGGGTACTGTTGGCTAGCTGCCTTCCCTCTAGTCTATCAGTTCAAAATTAGGGACGCAGATAGCTCTAGTGTAGATTTGCAGAAGTAAACGAAACAAGAAGAAAATCGTAAAATTTCTGCATAATTAGATTTCGGAAATGCCCTCAACTTTTTATAACGAACGTATAAATATATTTTTTTTGTTTGTAGTTAAGTGCAAAGCTAGACAAAGGGCTATCTGTGCTCTGCCCACCACGGGTATCGAAACCCAGTTTCTAGCGGTGTAAGTCCACAGACATACTGCTGTGCTACTGGGGTGCTTTGGCACATTTGTTCTTTTATGACTTTTATCCTTTCATGTAGATAAAATAATAAGGTAGTTCTTACGCCTAAGTACATTATCTGCTAGATCTGATGAAAATATCCAACACATTACATAGGAAGCTACATTTTGCTTGTAGGGCCATCAAGTGCGTGTGTATAGCCTATATAAAAGTAATGAGATTATCTGCTGTATTGACCAATACAATTTTTAAAACCACGTAATCACTAGCCTAAAGTGTGGTAGGGATTTAACCCTACCGCTTCCATCGGTCTTGTACAGTGAATTTAGTTCGTTTTGTCAACAGCCAATGCATATTCATACCCGACATGACACGGTTAACACCTCTGTATACGACGTCGTCGTAATCTGTTATTCTCTTCTTAAATAACTTAAGACTAATACCACCACAGATAGTTGGACGTCTGCAAAATATTATATGTATTGTTCCAGCCTCCACCACGATTCTAGATTTACTTCCAGTTTTTATTCCAGTGTTGCTTTAAAGAGTTAATCTTGTATTATTTTTGTCTTTTAGAAAGATGGATTGATGCAGACAGTCATTATTACGCTTTTTTTGGATCATCATTTTTGTTCTTAATTCAGAAGTTTCAGTCTTGTGTTTCGTCGGATCTTCCTTGCCTTTGCTGTACCTGGAAATACGTTGTTAATAAATGAAGTTTTGAGCTGTTACCATTTATATAAAAACCCGTTGAATTTCATTTTGTGCAATTTAAGAAAACTTCACATTTCTTTAAGTGCTTTATTATGTTTGCAGAGACACAATTATATATTTCAACTCTGACACTTTTAATATTGAATGCCCTGTTATAAAATCTAACGTCAAATAGAAGAATTGATCAATCGATCGATAGGTAGACAAATTGAAAGATGTTGCAGGAACTCTCGTCAACTAAGACTTATTATTTTTATCAATCACTATTACTATGGGTATGTAACTGGAGATACTGAAGTATCTCGACGGCGGAACAATCGTGAGAATAAGGCACACGCCTTACACGTGGCTTTCTTAGATACGAATCCGAACCGGACGTTGCTGAGGCTTTAAGGATATAGGATCATTGTTTTGGAATTGGAGTTTCTGGTTGTGTTTTTTTTTTTCCTTTCGGATTATTTTCGTAACGACTTAAACATCAGGTGCGGCGAGAAAAGACTATAGAGAACATTACAGCGCAGGTTAGCAGGTTGAAGTTTGTTTGATATGTTTGTTCAACGAGACGGTCCCACGCTGCTTGTTTACACGCGTTATCTCACATCCACCTGCCTGCCTGTAATTCAGGATATGCTGGGACACCATCTGTAGCTTGTGCTCAATAGTTCTCAACACCCAACAACTCTGAAATTATCTAGAATCTAAGCTTGCTGCTAGCCAATCGCTCAAAAAAACACACACACACAATAAACACTTGACCACACTAAAAATATTACTCTAAATAGCAGTTTAACACACATTAATTTAAACATTTACTCTCACTCGTTTTCACTTCAAAGGTCAAATTATACTTCTCATAATTTTTCTTCCTAGTAGCCCCCAGTGGCACAGCGGAATGTCTGCGGACTTACAACGCTAGAAACCGGGTTTCGATACCCGTGGTGGGC